ACCCTTCACCGAGCCCAGGGGGATCCACCATCCCCTAGCGCCCATCGGTGATCCTCATAGTGTCTAGCTTCGGGGCATGTGCTTGCTTGGTGGCAAGCAATGTACAGTTGACCTTCATATGGCCAATCTAATCACAGTGGTAGCAAACCCTGGTACTCGATACTGGGGTTGGATGGCGACAATCCCTCGCATAGTGGCCATTTTGCCACATTTTAGCATCCAGAAACAAGTCAAAAAGAACCTTCATGTTCCCTACCACACTTACCATAAGTACGGCCACTCTGACTCCCATATCTAACTTCAGTGGCCTTGAACCACTTTGACGCAGGTTGTGACTGCATTAAGGCCTGTCTCTTCTCCCTTATCGGGAGCTCCATCTCAATCTCACGTCGCCTCGCAGCCTCTTGCAAATCAAGGAGCGATCTATAGTGTTGAGTAGATATGAATTGGCGGATGTTTATCTTAAGCATACTGGCGAAAACAACCTCCTACCAAATGATCTCCCTAACCCAATCCTCAGTCAATCCCGTCTTATCCTGGCCACCTGTCCCGGCTCCTGATTTGGATTCCGACTCAAATCGCCTCGTAACCACCATACTAAAAATAAACCAGGGAGATATTAGATAAACGCATATCATACCATGGGAAGCAATTCCCAATAAAACCATAGGGGGCTATGATTTCTCTGCTACACGTATGGTTCCTATGCTTCCAGTAGTACGGTCCCATACTACCTTCCGCACCTACCCGTATTTGTCTAAGAGTATAAACACAACCACCCCAACAATACTCACAGAAATACACATACACCATATTCTCACTTCGTACAAAAAGGCTAGGCATTCCTCGACTGACCCCACATAATTCATCCATGAAACTACCACAACCCAACAACACTCATGTATGCTAATCACACATAACATTAGATCATGAAGACAGTGAATACTTGATTCTACCCTAAGCCCACAACCAAACAAGGAACAAGAAATAAGGGTAAAACAAACATTTTCAGGCTATAAAATCTTAGTTATATATTATTTTGATGCATACAATAAGGAGAACCCTACGCTATCAGGCATCATATAATTAGGCAATTATATCTTGATATTCATGAAGATCCTTAGCCTATCACTAGCATGTTGCTCTAACATATTACAATATCATATAACAATGTGGTAATTTGGGGTCTACTTACTGGTTCCAGCTGATCGTACACATCACATCCTCTCTTGATTATTTTGAAAACAATTTTGAAAATCATTTTTAAAACCTTTATCATTTCCTTAGTTTGAGACTGAATTCACATGGGTGTTCCTCCAATTTACTCAAACCAAGGCTCTGATACAAATTTGTAAAGTCCCAAAAAATCACAACAAATTTCAACTTTTAAGACAACCCATAGTCATAAAATGTTTACACAATCATTATTTTCAAATTGTTCATCTATATCAAAGTTTTCCCAAAATCATAAAACCATAAACAGAGGATGTGTATGGTCACGCTTTCACCTTCCCGTGATCATCAGAAGTACCTGAAACAACAACTAAAAACCATAAGCCAAAGCTTAGTAAGTTCCCCTAAAGTACCACCACATACAACATATCAAAAACAGCATGCATAACCGATCCTTCATCGTGAATGGACCGCATCGCAGGGTCTACAACCTGTTTGGACCACTCCTGAGCCTTTGGCATGACTAGAGTGCCTCACAGGGCCTACAGCATATCGGGACCGCTCGTCGTACTTTTGGCTTGACTAGATGCCTCGTAGGGCTTGCAGTCTATCTGGACTTCCCCGAGTATCTTGTACTTCAACATAAAGCAGGACCGCCTCAACCCAACCACACATAACATGTCGAAATATACATAATTGATAAACATATAACCAATCAACAGACAGACAAGCAGATCTACATATTAGCACCGCTTGTTAACATCCTATATATCAGGATACCGATCAAACAGATCACTACAACATAACAACATATAATATACTAGGATATTGATCTAACAAATCACTGCAATATAACAACATCCTATATACTAGGATACAGATCTTACTGATCACTACAACATAACAACATCCTATATATCAGGATACAAATCTAACATATCACTATAACATAGCAACATCCTATATACCAAGATATAGATCTAACAGATCACTACAACATAGCAACAAACGGTAAACAAGGATATCAATCTAAAGGGATGAACTTGGTGCCTTCGACCTGTAAGTACAGTGAGGAAAAATCACCTTATAGTCTGAACAATAGCTGATGAGGTCCCGACTCCAAATCTCAGCTCTAACTGACACCTATACATCTAAATGGCTAATTCTCAAACACCATTCAAAATACCCAAAATACTCCTTAGTTAAACTTGGTCAAAGTCAAAGTCCAACTGGTCAAATTCAACTCAGTTAACCCAACCGAGTCAGCACATAATGCGTACGCAGGGCGTACTCGAACATTGACCATCATCGGGGAGGTTGACCACGTACGCGTTGCGTACTCAGATTACGCAGGGCATACACCCAGTCATCCCAAAAACACATTAAGAGATTAATGCCTTCAACTCTTACGTCCAACTTCTAGATCCACGGCTAAAATACTGCTAGGAGTCATAAAGTTTCCAAGTGTATGACTTTGCATGTCCATCAAATGCTTAACTCAACATCTTAATGCATTAAGACCTTCTAAGGAATGCATGGGGTGGAACCAACCCCCAATACTACATTTTTATGACTTAATACCCATCCAAATTTCTGAAAGGGTGACTTATTGGGTTAAGAACATGATATGCTCAAGAAGCACAACATTTGGGACAAAAAGAACCTAAAATCAAGCCCAAAACAAGATCTAAACGAGACTTCACCAAGTTCATAACTTTATACCTCCAAGTGATGCCAAATGATGGTGTGTTTCTGGATCTAAAGTGCTTCACTCCTCCGGGATGGTCTTTACTTCCTTTCTTCTTCTTCAAAGGCACAAAATACACACACATAAGCTTAGAAATGCTTCACAAGGTGGATTAGGGTTGCAAGGTCGTTTAAAAGGGTGGAGGCTGATGAAAGTAGCCAAGGTTAGGAGTTAATGATGAATAAATAGGGTAAAAACCCTAAAGATTAGGGTTTGGTACTTCCCATGTACGCCCAACGTACACAAAGCATATGCCCACCATACATGGCTCCGCTCTAACAATCCAAAAGTGGCAATAACAATCCCTCCTATCCACACTTCATACATTATAAGGACCAAAATGCTATAAATTTCAATATAAGCGTCAAAATTAAAGTACCTCAAAACATGATGTTACACATGTTAGCTTAGGATTGTTTTTGAATGTTTTTATTGCCTAAATCTAGTGTATAGATGCATAGAAAACCCAACAAGTTACTCGTATCCCATTTGGTATCTTTATGTGGTAGCAAAATACACTTTGGATATTGTGAGTGAAACTTGTCTTTTAGGTGCTAAAACATCGGCCTTCCTCATTCGACAGTATCAAAAACTGGGTCTTGCTACTGGTGCTAAGCTATCTGATCTGGAAACTTATCATCGATTAATTGAAAGATTAATTTATTTAGCTGTTGTACGACCTGATCTTGCATATTCAATCCATATTCCATCTTAATTCATGCAGTGTCCTCATGTAGAACATTGAGAGGGTGCATTGAGGGTGGTTTGCTACTTAAAAAGTACTCTAGGACAAGTCATTTCTTGAAGACAATTAGCAACCTGACCTTGGTAGGATGGTGTGACTCAGATTAGGTTGCTTGCCCAATCACACGATGCTCTTTATCCGGTTGGATTATATATTTTGGTAACTCACCAATTGTGTGGGAGACAAATAAACAACCCACAATTTCAAGATCATCTATTGAAGCGAAGTATCGATTTATGGTTGCAATTACTTGTGAGGTCAAGTGGCTAAAAGGTTTGTTGAAATGCTTGGGAATTCAACATAAGCAACTAGTTACTCAGCAATTCATCTTGCTAAGTATTTTAGATAAAGTTTATCTTTTTAGTTTGAATCGTATAGATGGATGTTAGTTCTGATTTTTAGTTTTTTAAGATGTATTCATACAAAAACTCAACCGAATGAAATCAACTCCTTTTGAACCATTATTTTTTCATCATTACCTTATATTCATTAATTACACTATATAACTAAAATAGACAAGGGTAAAAAATCTTATGCCATGTTCAAAATTGAAATTTTGATATATAGAAAAACAATTTTGTTTATTAGGGATGCAATGACATGCAACACCCCCCAACAATTCTAAATAGCTTGGCCATTCATGAAACACGTTTCTATTAATAAAACACGTTTCCATTACGTTGACCTGTCATGTCCAGTCATATCAATTGCTTATTCCATCCTGTAAATACCTGAACATCAACTTTTATTTTTTTTCATCCTATAAATAACTTCGAATACCAACTTAATCCTCAGAATATATTTTCGAGATCATTTAACTATATGTAATCCTAACCAATAATTCTGTGAGTGGAATCATGTTCCAAGTATATTTTCAACTTTTACTACATAATGAATAATTACCTTTGTAGTAAAATTATGTGAAAGAAAAATAAGAAAAAATAAATAAAACTGAATGTCATTTTCACACAAACCAAGAAAAGCGGTGAGATGCGGATAACATCATCATTTGGAATCAGCTAAAACTATATTTCATTTACACCCCTTTATGTTTAGCTTACTATTCAAACTTTTAATTTTTCTATGTAGTTTTATATATCTTGCTATCTATACAAACATATGTCATTTGTTACCCGTCTATAAGATTCATAAAATGCCATAGATCATTTTTTTTTACTAAGGAAACTAAAAATCACGAAAAAACAATAATGATGTATATACAAATTAGTTTACATTAAAATATACTATCGTCAAATTCTACTTGATACGATGTCTCCAAACCATATTGATAAAACCACAACTACCATGTAAGAGACTTTTAAACATGAGACGTTAATAACTTATTAAATATTTACTTGAATCTATATTTGTGTTTTGTAATCCTAAGTAGCAGCAAGTTAATACTTCTCAATAGATGAAAGGGCAGAAAATGTGTCGACACCAATAATTGTAGGGCTGTATATTATACATGTCAAAAAGCATCAACGGTTCTTTGGTCCTCAAAAATTTGGAATCAATGTATTTCACTCACAGGGAATGGTTTACGTGGAACACGGAATAATTTTTTTTATATATATAATAATTTTATGTTTAGTTTTAGATGAATTTGGAAATAAAAAACAAATTGCTTGTAATGATGAACTTTCAATTTGATCGCATATATTTAAACAAGAAACAAAATAATGAACTATCATCAACCGATTTCTCAAATTCCATCTCACAATAATTTGCAGTGTACGGACACACTCTCCTTCCATTTTAAATTCTCTCTCTACACAGCAGTTGAAAGGAGGTTACCATATATTTGGGTTTTCTATATAAATCACACTTCCTACTTCATTCATTATCTCTGAATCCAAATCCAAACAACAATGGGCGCTGTTTCTATTTTGCATACGGTTTTTGGCATTTTCGGTGAGTGTCCTTCCTTGATTCATGAATATTCATTTGTTTCTGGTTTGCTCCACATTCACATACAGTGCGAACAGATTTTTGTTGATTGATTTCCGTTTGTGTGATTTTGGAAAACAGGAGATGCAACTGGTCTGTTCCTCTTCCTCGCACCAACGTAAGGATTTCAACAATTTTCAGTGAAAACGGGGAACAATTTCTTCTGTTTATAAACACAAATCTATGAAAACACCAACCATTTCATCAGTTTTCTGTCGATTAAAGTTTATAAACACACGGATCTCTCGTGATTGATTGTTGATGTGCGTGTAGGATTACGTTTAAGAGGATACTGAAGAACAAATCAACCGAACAGTTCTCAGGGATTCCGTACCCCATGACCTTGCTCAACTGCCTACTCTCTGCCTGGTAATTCCTCATTTTGATCTTCTCTATTCAAATTCCGTGAACAAAAACAGTTTATCTCATTCACGAATCTCTCAGTTGTTCGGTAGAATTAGTGAATACACAATGGAAGAATCTAGTTTCAATTCCGATGAATACGTGAATTTATTTTGGTGTTATCAGGTATGGACTACCATTCATTTCGAAAAACAACACACTGGTGACAGTTATCAACGGAACAGGAGCAGTGATCGAGTCTATCTATGTGTTGATTTTCATACTACACGCACCGAAGAAGGAGAAGGCGAAGATCCTTGGGTTGGTCACCTTCGTTCTCGCCGCCTTCTCTTCCGTCGCCTTGGTTTCCGTTTTTGCACTCCACGGCAAGACTCGCCGGTATTTCTGTGGTTTCGCCGCCGCCATTTTCTCCGTCATCATGTACGGCTCGCCCCTCTCCATCATGGTATGTATCCATTTCTCCGATCTAATTCAAGCCCTTTCTTCACCTGTGTTTTTTTTTTACATCGATTTCCGACGAAATGTGCAGATGACAGTGATCAGGACGAAGAGTGTGGAGTACATGCCTTTTTTCCTGTCACTGTTTGTTTTCTTGTGTGGTACCTCCTGGTTTGTATTTGGACTACTCGGAAACGACCCTTTTGTCTATGTAAGCCCTTCATCTTTCATAAGATTTTCGAATTAATTACAGACCTTCGAGTTATTTGTTCTATCTGTTTTACTGGTTGAAATCCAAATCAAATTGCAGGTATGCAACGGATTCGGAAGCGTATTGGGTGCACTTCAATTGATCTTGTACGCCATTTATAGAAAGAACAAGGGAGGACAGAAGGACGATAAACCAGCGGCCAATGAAGGCGGCGGCTCCGCCATGGAAATGGGGTTCGTCAATGGGAAAGAAAAGGCCACCGCCGAACAACCTCAGCAGGATAACAATGGAGTGTAAAGGACTCGCCCTGTCGTCGAATCGTACGGATTCTGGATTCATATGTTTCTTGTTTTCTTTTTTGTTAGGAAGAAGTTTGTTTTTACCTTTTAAATTGACACATGTTCATGCGGTTTGGCGGTGAATCTTGCTTTATTAAATGGTTTATAATTTTTCAAATCCGTATCATCAGATATTGAATAGATTTTTTATGAATTTTACACTAAATTGTCTTCGGTATCTAAATCTTATGATGTTGTAATTAATTAATTTTGGTCACTTACATATAATTATTACGATAAATTAAACTTCGTTTATTTAATGTAACACATAAAACGCATTTCATTAAAAAAAACGTTTATATCCACGTTAATGATGTTATTTTAGTGATAGTGAAAATGAAAATCAAGAAAATAAGCATGAAAACCAAATTATGTACCCCAAATTGGCATGCACCTTGTCATGCATATACGGTTTAACTTTGTCATGTCGTAAATGTAGTCCTTAAAACATTCTGATTCTATGGAAATAAAAAATTTAAAAACATTTGGTTAATTAAAATTTTGGGTTTACTAAAACAAAAAACATAAAGCTCACTTCAAATAATACCGAAATTTCACAAAACAATTTAAATTTTCGATAATTCAATTTTCACATATGGTACATGGAAATAAGAAAAATGTGTCTATTCTGTAGATAATTCAATCACGATATTCTTCTCACGTCATACATTGGACATATATTCACATAATTTCGGGTAGTTTCATTGTTGCTTCTCCCTTAATTGTTGTGTGTGTAAAATGTTTAAATGATAGATAATGTATGTGTGTAATTAGTGGCACTATATAATAATCTTTTTAGACCAAGTTTATAGAGCTACAATAAAATTTATTATTCATTTCGATTGGTTATATGTTCTATAATAAAAACAAAATAAGAGAAAGAAAGCGTGCATCGGGAAAAAAAAAAGTGAAAAAGTTATAAAAAAAAGATTAAAAAGTTTGACGTGGTGAGTCAACTAAGAGCTTTCAAAATTTGAAAAAGTGAAAAATATAAAGGATGTTTCAGTCAAAAGATGCAATCCAATTATAACATTCATTATCAAAGGCCCAATGCTCTAGCAATATAAAGTGATCATTTTATATAAGAGTTGATAAGTTCAAGTTTCGATGGAGATATAGGTGGTTATTTAGGATTAGATTAGTTAGTTTGTCGTTTCAAAAAAATTAGAACATTGATTGTTTTTAGGGGTTCGGCTAAAAAGACACTTTATATTACAATATGAACACCTAGTTAATTTTTTAAATCTTTATGGCTGAAATTGCATTGTTTTCTGAAAAAAACGGATTATAAAGGATATCTTATTAGTAACAACCTTGTTTTTATGGTTTTTCTTTTTCTATTTTCTTTTCATTTTTATGTTAAATCGTTTGAAATTTAGCTCAAATATCTTAAGGTGGGATGTAACTAACTTTATATTTGCTTGAGGGGAATCAAAACATAAATGTGTACTATAGTGTGAATTAGTTATATATTTTGGATATTTATCTTAACTAGTAGGAATTAGATGCGCCGTTGACGTTCGATTGGATGAAGTTTACCTAAATGTTGATGAATTTTTGTTTTGTATTTGGTTCACTTCACTTTAAAAATGGAGTTGTGTTAAGTAGAGAATGGTTTTCTTTTGTGTACAAGAGTCATTTATTTTGATAGTAAACACTATGGAATTAATTTATATTCACATTCATTACAACTACATGGATGAAACAACATATGTTCACTTCTGGAACCGAAAGATAGTCAAAAGAAGAGATGGTCTACATCCATAACATAAGGCAAAAATACCCGTACATCATTTGATTAGAATAATGTCTGCAATCAACCTCCTCCAGGCACTAAACTTCAACAATGTAGCTTCCTGTAGAATAATTACCATCAACAAACATAGTAAATAAAACTCGTTTTGCTTTTCAATCATTGGTTTCTTTTATATCCCAACAAATAATAAAATATCCTTTAGTAAAAACCTCATAAGGAGTCTTCATAGGGAAACTCTCAATCTCTATATCCCACCAAATACTAAAGTACCTTTTAATAAAAACCTCATAACCACATTTGTTGAAGGGTATTAATATCTTCAGTTTAACTCTTCTATTTGTTGTGATTATCGTTAAAGGAAAACAAAAAAAAATGTAACATCATCTTGCTCAACCAATTTCAGACTCTGAGGTTGAGGGGTATTTTGGTAATTTTGCACCGCCAACATCTCTCCCGTTGCGATTGAATCCTTGTGCCAAAATAATAAAAAAAATTAGTAAAAATATATAAATAAATAAAAACATATGCTATTTATAAAGATATCAGGTTCTGACTGAGTGTTTGTGGGGATTATAGCCGGAGGATTTCCAGAGCAGCAACAGACAGAGATTTCCCGTGCAGATTATCAGCAGCTACTCGTACGAGGTGAGTTACCTTCAAGTAGCGGTGGGTCTACAGCCATAATGTCGGCCCCAAATATTTCTGATAGTATGTTATGAGATTTTTATATGCTGGCATGTTATGTTATATGTGATAGTGGTAGTAGGATGGGAATAGTCCTTGAGGTTCGATTGTTAGGATTGAAGGGTAGGTCAGCACCCCAGAATGGCTTGACACGGGTAGGTCAGCACCCCAGAATGGCTTGACATGGATAGGTCGGCACCCCAGAACTGCCCGACAATATGCATGCTATGTGATTGTATGGTATGTGATACGATGGGGGAACTCACTAAGCTTCGTGCTTACAGTTTACAGTTTTGGTTTCAGGTATCTCTTCAACGAAGGATAAGGAGCTGGCGCGGTAGCAGTACATCATACACACACATATTGGTTTTCCGCATTTGATATGTTCTGGGATTGTACTCTGACATGTTACTATTTTATGATTTGGGTTTTCAGACATGATATATTGATTTACGAAATGATATATTTTTATGTAGTTTTCTTACGAATGTTCTTAAATCAGTTGATTAAAAAAATGAAATTTTTGGACTCGAAATTTGGGACGTTACACACCCAAACAGAACAATCCCAAGCTGAAAATTTTATAAAAATAAAAAATAAAAGTCATGAACTACTTAAAACATTTTAAAGATTCGAATTGTAAGTTGAAAACAAATCAAAAAAAAATACCAATATGGCTTGAATCATCTTTGAAATTAGCAAGTTGAAAAACATGCCTTCTTTGTTGGAAATTTACAAGTTCTTCCTTGAAAGTTGTATCACCTTCCCTTAGTGTCCTATGGATAACTATCAGTTCTTTTAAAGCCACTTGATAAGAAACAAAAATGTTAGATGCAGAAAATTGCATTGTACGAAGTAGAAGAACAGAATTGCATGGATGTTGTAACGAAAATCAATGGCTACATATGGTTTTATTGTTTCTGAGAATCGTTATGATTCATAAATGACCATCAAAAGATAAAACACAATGGGCTTTTGCCATCGTAAAATAGGCAACAACTAACATCTTATTAGGCTTAGCAAAGCATTAAATGAATGAATCATACCAAATTTCTTGAAGAATAGGCAATTACTGTTCGTCTGGTTATTATATAAAACTGGTTTTATATCTAAATAAAACGGTTCCAGATTTCAAATAGACATATTATCAAACAGGTGGTATGCGTCTTCACTTTCTTCAAATTTTTGTAATAATAATCCTACCATTTCAAACTCATTTCAACTTACAATAGAGATGATTTAAAATCAAGCAACTAAAATAGGAATCGAAGAGAGAAAGTAGATAGACATACTTGATTTACAATCTAAATTGGAGGCATGTTTGTGAGAGGCGACGATTGTTAACAAAGTGGCGAGAAGGTGTGTGGCATGCGACTGGGTTTCCATCAATTGAAGAGAAACCTTCAAAAATCATGTTTAATTTAACGGAGAGACAACGAAACGAAGATCCAAAACTTGGAAACGAACAAAAAAAAAAAGAACAGGAGCTGGAAATAAACCCAAACCTCTTACGATGTACACTAGGTAATCGTTGTTGCGATTTTCTGGACGAACAAAGGTGTAGGAGAGATGGTGGAGATGACAGTCGGAATCGATAAAGAAGATGCAAGGTATAGCACCAAAAAATGACACTCCTCACGCATCGCCGCCTCACAAATGTATAGGAAGCCATTAAAGGAAGAAAATGGTGGGTCGAAGAGAAAATGATGAATAGCAGAAGAAATTGGAGCGAGGCAGCAACAGAACATCAACGAAAGTAAAGAAGGAAGAAGGAGGAAATAAGGAAAAGCGAAGGAAATTTTATTAGACGATGAGGGCGTCAAGACGGCCACCAAAACGGATAAGATGGAAAGGAAAAAAGAGAAGAGTTGGGGCGCTTTTATGAAAAGGAAAACTTGAGTGGAAAAAGAAGAAAGAGAAAAAACTTTCCTTAGCCCAACTTTTTAAGCTTTATGTATATATAATAAATTGCTCTAAAAGGCTTATATTGGATAAATATAGTTAAATTCAGAACTCACATGATAAATGAAAATAATGGGAAAAGAGTGGAGATAGATATGGATCAATATAAAAGTTACCATAAAACACAATTTAACGTCGAATAATGAAGAAGACGTGGCAAAGAGGCATAGACATTCAAGAACCATCGGGGAAGATTACGAATAGAGGCACGACATTTGAAGCCTAGAGACATTACTTATTTTCTACAATTACGAGATGTAGATGCATAATGGGCTAATACCCTTTTGTTTCTGCTTAGATGTAGATGAACCTAAGTATTATGCTTTGACTTGTTAGTAGGATGTATAAAGTTTGATTATTTATTATGTATGATCGATCCTTTACCATATATATATATATATATATATATATATATATATATATATATATATATATATATATATATATATATATATATATATCTTCCTATTCTAATAAAATAATACATTTTATCTCATATTGACAAGTGTCATACAATTAGAACTCCTCATTAATGTTATATTTTAATGTTATATATCGTTTATCATGTTACTTGTCAACCTATTAATTATCAATTTCAAATTTTAAATTTTAAATTTTCACTCTAATTAGATTAAATTAAAATTGATCATGCATTTCAAATTTCAAATTTTAAATTTTCCCACTCTAATTATATTAAATTAATAATTGATTTTTCATTTTTAATTTCAAATTTTAATTTTCTCACTCTATTTATATTATATTAATAACATTAAATTGAAAAATAAAATAAAATTAATACATATTATAAGATG